AACACAAATGTAACCAAAGAAGAGAAATAATACAATGTGTAGTGTTTAATTAGTCACAGCTAAGCAACCCACTTTGGAATGGTAAAAAAACCCCACAAACCCTGAGTGTTCATACAGGGCTGCAGAATCCTACTGCATAGGACAACATTAAAAATTAATTTCTTTAATATGAGTGCCAAATGTACATATTAAAAGAACTCCAGGGATTTCAGGAATTGCATAAAGAAGAAAACATTGAAAAAGTAATTCACTCAGCATCAGTAAATATCACCGTTCCCATTTTCAGACATAGAAAATGAGGTTTGAAGCACGTGCTTCAGTGCCCGTTCCCAGGGTCTGAAATCAAGGCTGGATTTAATCTCATGCCCGAGACTCCTCGAGGCAGAAGCGGAGCTGCTGAACACTCGGGACGGCGCAGCGTCCTCCCCGCAGAGCAGCCCGTCCCACGGGCACCGCTCACGGCACATCACCGCCCGCAGCAGCGGAGCTGGCGGGGCTGAGGCACAGCCCGGAGCCCTCGCCCCCCGAAAACTGAGCCCAGGCCTGCTTATCAGACCGTTCTTTTACCTTTTATTCTCCTTCCATACAAGCCGAGCGTTAATAGTGAAATATTTCCGTAGGTCTCACTCGCAATACACAGGGCCGGCTTTGCCTCCGTCAGCTTTCGTTGGCAGCTGAGGCTGGAAGGAAGCATCGCAGTCCTCCTCACCTGTTGTTCTCAGATCAGTTTTTATTTGGATTAAAAAGCAAATGCAACGCTTACTTTAATAGGATTTATATTTAGAAGCAAAGATTGGGTGGCTTAGCAAACTACGCCTCTGCTGGAAGCGTTCGCTGCAGAGACCACGAGGGAGGGAGGCTGGTTCACGTTCTCCGGCTGTGGCAGACCGCAGCCTCCCAGAGAGCGGGGCGACCGTACGCAACGCACGCATCCCTGGCTTAATGCACTGGAGTGCACTTCAGCATGTCTGGGAAGGGAAGGCACGGAAAATAGGCTAAATGATTTAGTTCTGTGTTTGTTCCCATTAAATGCTCCCCTCTGACCGCTATATCTCTTTTAATTGTAAAATGAATTTGCTCTGCCAGCAAACCCGGTTCGGCTGGGGAAAGCCTTCTGCTTCATTTGCTCTTGCTGAATCTCATCAGCTTCTGGGTCAGCAGTTCATTTTCTAAAGGTCACCGGCATGCATACCTAACACACAGTTTCATTCATTACGATGAAGGAATGCTTTTCTTTCAAGACAACATAGCTGCTGGAACTAATTTTTCCCGATATGTCACATATAAAATTTTAATGACATAAACCACTATAAATGCAGGTGCCGAGGGAAAAATTCAATACAATGCAGTAACGTGTGTTCTTAAAATAAACAATACAAAATTGTATTATTAAATACACAGTTTTGTACGTTCTCCCACAGGATCAGGTAGCGTTGCAAGAGCTAATGCTGTTCCTTGCAGGAGTTCGGCCGTTGTGTTGGCTGGCTCAAATGGTACCACAATAAAATCGTACTTTACACCGCGCTAACAGTACACCTGCCTCTTATGCTTGTAAATACGTGATATACGTAATACAAGGTCCAATAAACACAAGGTCTAGTTTCTAAAACATGCTTTGTGTTTTACTAGGGCGATATAAGGAATTTAAGCGCCAGTGGCCAAACTGGACAGAAAGCAGCCACCGGCAGAAGCGCAGGCCAATTCTTCCTTTAGGTAACCAGGCAAATTCAGCAAACGGGTAACTGCTCTGTGTGCGTCCCGCGCCCCCGCGGGCGCTGGGTCCTCCTCTGCTCCCAGCCAGCCATCAACAGCGCGAAAGGTGATATTTATTTAACACAGCTCACAAATAGTTTTCAGACGTCGGCTTCATTAATTTCCCTTTTGTTCAGTCAGGGAGATAAATTGACTTGACGCCACGTTACCTGCTTCCCTGTGCTGACTGCACGGCAAGCTGCAGAACTGTTTGCTGGTAAACATTTTACAAGGTAGAGTAATTTATGTGAGGCTTTTGTACTCTCTGCACGTTACAGCTGCGGCGAGGCAGCGCCGAGGCGTTATTACCCCCGCTTTAATCGTGCCCCTGTGGATCAGGAGCAGTTAAGTGTGTTTGATGATTCCTTCTAAAATACCCGTTGTTGCCAAACAAACAGGAATGATTAAAAATTATTCTCTCGTACCAAGTCTGATTGACTATCCCCCGTGCCCTAGCTAGGCAGGAACACAATTTGAAATAGCAGCTAAAAAGCCGCATAAGTTTTTAAAATAACGTATCCCGAGGTGTTTGCACCCATCGCGGCACCGTCCGTTCCTCGCCTGGAGCTCAGCACAGCCTCAGTCCCTCCCACCCAGGGCAGAGCCGCACGTGCCGTTTGGCTGCTGCTTCCCGCTGTCCCCACCTGCGCCCTGGGCTCCCGCGGGGCAGCGACCGGGACAGGGGATGTGATGGCAAACACGGCTGGCGCGAGAGTTCCCGGCTTTGGGAAACTGAAAATCACGCACACGCGGTGGAAGCGTTACGCGAGCTGCTCAACACGCGCGGTACGCGCAGCCTTCTCGGTCCCGAAGAACCGGCATCTCCCCCGGCGGCGGGAGAGCTGGCAGGGCACGGGGCAGCACCAGCCCTCGCAGCGGCACGCTCGTTTTATTTGTTCTGTCTTATTTTCACTTGGTATCCCACTTTTTTTGGTAAGATTTCTCCATTTCCTCTCATTGATTTACCATCTTCCCTTTTTGGCCTTGGGCTTCCAGACACAATACATTGCATAAGTGTTTTACTTGGGGAAATACAGGGGAGAAAATTTTGATCATACAAAATTCGCTTATTCTTTCAAATTTCATTCAGAGAGTTTGTTGCAAATAGCTCTTTGCTGTAACCTTTGCAAATTTCTCCCTCTTTAGTATCGTATTTCATTTTAAAATAATTTAAGAGACTAATGTATGTCCAGAAATATATCCTTTTTCTATTTTTAAGGATTTTTATCAAAACTCCATATTTTATTTTTTTTTTCTAAAAACAGAAAAGTGCCAAGGGACATCAGGTAAGAAACCTCCGATCCTTTTAGGTGTCTACATGTCTCTTTGGCAATAACTGCTGGTGGATTTTTCACAGGGAGTCTCCATCCCATGAACAACTTCACATGTTATGTCCCCCAGGTATCATACATTCCCGGAGCCTTGAGCGTCTCCCAGCAACACGCAGCGCACAACGCGTTTAACCTGCCAGTGTGTCAGCACCACGGCTTCACTAATCATTTCCTGCTTCTTCATAATTTGTGCGGACCTTTTAACTTACACATTTATGGCTTAAGGTTTTCAGAAAAAACACCCATGTATTTTTAGCCAAAATTCTTCGGGTATAAACTTCGCAAAACAGCGCTGCACAACTCGCATCAATGAAAGCAGTGGGATCGCTGCTCCGAAGCGGAATGGAAAGCAGCATCCCAGGCAGGAGCAGCCCGTTGCTTCCCTGGCAGACGGGCAGACCCTGACGTCTGTGCACTTGAGACACGTCAGACCTAAACAAACCGCACGCGCTGCTCCAGACCGCAGGAGCGCGCATCCGAGGCTGAGCACACCTCCCATGTCACCTGCCCAGCCCTCCCCTCGCTTGTCCGTACAGCCAGGACTTCAATGCTCCCGAGGACCTCATCCGTCATGCGGCGCCTGTGACGTGGTCCGGACCACGAGGCCGGTGCGAGGGAGAGGGGCCCCAAGGGACCCCCGCGCCCACGGGGGCTGCCCAGCCTCTGCCCTGCCCACGCACCCGCCCTGGGAGGGGGACCCAGAAGGAGCATCCCCCGGGAAGGGGAGCTACCTCATCCTGTCCTGGGTACCGCAAGACACACAACGCACGCAGTCAGGGTACTGACACAGAGACGGTAACTTCCCGTCCTCACCGGACCCTCCCCGCACCTCTATTTTGGGAAATAAAACAAGTACAAGACTTTACTGCCCAGAACAATCCAGCCTGAGAAACGTGCTTCGTGCGAGTTGCTGACCACTCCAGGCAGGGTCAGGTGTGAGAGTGACACACACGTTAATCGTAACCGAGCCCAGAAGCTGATACAGACCCAGGCAAGCAAATAAATATCAAATGCCCTCCGCTTGGTGAACGAGCCAAGCAGGCGCAATTTCATTTCCAAGCACGTGTCCCTCAGTGGGGCCTCGTGAGCAGCAGCGGGGCTGCTTTTGGATTTACTGCCGTCCCCCCCAAAGGAGATGAGTAGCCGGCCAAGCGTCCAGCTGAGGGGCGCAAGATCAGACCCGTAACATGGGCGCTGTCAGCGGCCTTCACGCCACCATGCAGAGCAGTGCAAGGTGGCTCTGCTTCCTCAAATACAGCTTCTGATTTTTTTTCTCAGAATATGCTGTTCGCATTAAGGACTGAACGGCACCCTGGCAGACAGTAGGCACGTTACCCTCCAACCTGCTTCTGCATGCCCTGGTTCCTGAGGAAGGACTCACCCCCAAAACCCCGCAGTGCCGAGCAGCACGTACAGGTGCAGAGGAGTTTGTTCTGCCCGCCAAGGCACCGGGTGGAGGGAGCAGCCACCGAGGACGCTGACGCACAGCGGGTCCCCGGTGCTCGAGGAGCCGGAGGCGCTGGGGTTGCACCCTGGAGAGCCCGCGCAGGCGCCAGGCAGGGACGGCCCTGGTCAGGGTGCCAGGACCGCGGAGGTGCCGTTCCGCATCCCGCACCGGGTACGGCCGGGAGGGGGGAATAACGTGTGCAGGGAAGTGCCCTCGGGAAGGGGAGGAGAGGATTTCCCTGGAGCTGGTCTTTCCCTCCTTGCCAGTCTGCACTTCCAAGTGTCACAAAATGCTTTTGCCTCCAACCATCCATGAAAACCCGTTTTTAGTTAATAACTTCACTTTCATCTTTGGTTGCTTAAGAGCGCAATTTAAAACAATTATCACAAACCGGCAAGAGATCCCTACTCTGACTTCCAAAACAACTCAGCCTAATGTGTATGGTAACGTTTTGTTCCTTTTGTTTTCAGTTTTTCCAGATTTGCTCAAAATTGTCCCTGCAAGTATCCACGTTAGCGTCATTCTCTTCTGTACAGTACTGCTCGTCTTTGCTCTGGTGGGAGCAGGTTTCTTCATGTTCAACGCTTTCGGCAGCCCGTACGAAACTCTGCACGGCCCTGTCGGGTTGTACCTCTGGAGCTTCATCGCATGTAGGTACCACCCTCAGCCCACCAGGCTAAATCTTGCCCGTACGTAGCTACTTATGATGACCGATTTATCAGTGTAGGAGGCTGTGTCCAGGACCGTGGCTGCATTGACTCTAAACTGGCAAAATGAAGCTAGGCAGAAAGGTGGATGATTTTGCTATATCAAAATATGTTTTTTTCAAGCTGGCATTAGGAGATAAAATGCCGAAATCCTCCACGAGGGTGGGCAGCGGGATGGGTGGGGCGAAGCCATGGCAGGCAGCCCAGTGTCCTCAGCCCTTCTCCGTAAGCTGGCAGAAAAAGGGGATGGAGCCCGCGCGCCCCGGGGACCCGGAGCTGGGGCCACATCACGGGGGCACGGCACACGGTCAGAACTGGGAATTGCACCGGGGTGGGGAATGAACAAAAAAAAGTCAGTGATGCAACTGCTCCTGTTCACCAAGATGGGAGGTTTCCAGCCATGTAAGCGAGATCACCATTTACACCAGCAAGACTTTCTCGAGGAAGGAAGGAAGGAATTGAGAAGCAGAAAGGGAGAGACTGACAGCAACTCCCTGCAAAAGTGGCCTCTGAAAATGCTGCCCACAGGGATAACGGACCGTCCCTGTGTCTCTGCCACTTACAGAGAGAGAGGGTAAAGCCCATTCTCTGTGTCGCTGGCTTGGCTGACAAGGAGATCTACCATTATTTCACAAGGTATTACATATTACAATCATAATTTAACAAAGGACTGAAGTACGTATTTATCTTTAAATGTGCAGACGGTTCAGTTATGTTCAATGGGACAATGAGCAGCTTACAGCTGAAAAAGAGCACAGATATGTTGCTGGATCAGGGCACTGAAGCAGCCGTGCTAAATATTATGGGTCCTAAGCCAAATTCAATTAAAAATAATCCCTGTTCAAGCCAAGTCACGGGGGCCATAATAACATTATCGGTATGACATTTGGTTGCAATGTACATGGCCTTGCTGCAGGGGTTGCTGAGATGGTGAGTGTCTCTCCCTCCGTTGCAGGTTCCTGTGGTTGCCTCATCATGATTCTCTTCTCTTCAGAGGTGAAAATCCATCACCTTTCGGAGAAAATCGCTAATTTCAGAGAGGGAAGTTTTACATTCAAGACTCACAGTGAACAGTTTGCAAATTCATTCTGGATCATCCTGGTGTGCTCCCTGGTGCACTTCCTGAACGCCTTGTTGATACGAGTGGCTGGATTTGAATTTCCCTTTTCAAAATCAAAAGATTCAGCGACAACCACTGGAGCAGTTGACCTGATGTATTAGAATTGCGTAATTTGAGAACATTGAAAGCACAGAGGTTCATCACTACTACGTTCAACAACCACCAGATGTACTAACTTTTAAGTGATTAGCTCTAAAGACATTTTAAAAAAGTGAAGGTTTCAAATAAATGTCAATATGGCATATGCAGTAAACAAAAGACGACACACTGTTTGGTAACATCTAACTCAAAATACCCTCTCTTTCTTGGGGTAAGACCTTATGAAGACATCTGCTTTTTTTCCAGGAAGTTATTTGAAAAGTAGCTGGTATGAAGAAAACTAGGAATATCGATAGCATTGAACTGGACCTGGAAAGTAAAATAAATGGGTTGCGATAGAGGCAGACACGATCACCAGCAGCAGTTTTGCCCTTTAGCCCTGTGAAGGCAGGGATGCGGTTGGTACCGCGGCAGAGAACAAGGATGCCCAGCAAATCTACAAGCACCGAACACGAGAAAAGAAAACACAAGGGCTTTGCCCGTAACACGCATCAGGCCCCATCTCAAAAGCACAACGCTGAGAAGGAACACAATGCTGTAGTAAGTGCTTGCAGGACAAAACCCGAACACCTGAACCCACTACTAACACCTTAAACTAGCATCGCGTGCGTGGCAATGCCATTGTTTCTGTCCATAAACCTCTCTTGGGGGGGGTTAACAAACCAAACTAACTCTTTGAGCCTGAAGTCCCAAAAGCCACCGTCCCCTGTGCGATCACTATAGCTGGGGGCTTCGTGACCTTGGTTAGCAAGGCACACAGAGCAAAGCAGGACGTAGAGAAGATGACAAATCCTCCCTCCTGCTTGCCCGAGAGAGGCAGCCTGGCTTGGTGCTGCTGAACAGCCCCTCTGCAGCGCACCAGGGCAAAGAGACAGGAATGCAAACCAGGCACCTTTCACGTGGAGCTGCATCCTCCCAAAGCCTTACAGTCAGAAGGACGGAGCACCCTGCCCAGAAAACAGCCCTGCAAACTCCCTCTCATCAAACGCCACAAGTAAACAAAACCAAAGCCCTCGGCAAAGGGCAGCCACGGAATAACACAATAGACAGGCTTACAAGGCACGCTGCAGCTCGGCAGAGACTGGTGAAGATACACGAGCTTCTCTATCTCAAGGCGTGCAGGAAGCCGGAATGGACAAACACGTCAGCCCTTGCACCCTTAAACTTCGGCAAGTCAGTTACAGCAACCAGACCGCTCATCCCAGCCCAGTTACGTACGGATAGACCAAAAGAGCATTATGCCGCCAAACACTACCTCCGTGGGACGATGCGGGTGCCTTGGAGATGAGGTGTTCCCTGCAGGACGTGGGGATGACATTCAGAGCAAAGACAAGAGGAGGTGCCCGGGGGGACAGCCTCTGCACCAGCAGCCCCGTGGCTGCAGCCTGCTTGCACAGCTGCAGGTGAGGGCAAACCCACCCCACAACCATCGTCACCTGTGGTGCAAATCAGGCCCCGGCACCTGGTAGGACTCGCCTCTGAAAACTGTATGCTTCAAGCTCCAGCAGCTTACAGGATGAGCTCTGTGACACTTACGCCAGTTTTTATACTCATACTATGAATGCAAAACATTGCTGGGTTTTTGTACAAGGTTTGTCACCTGCACCCCTCCTCCACAACCCTTTCACAGAGCAGCTCTGCCCCCCGTGCCGTACCATCTGTTCCCCGGCTGTAACAGTGTGTAAGGGCTACTGCAAGTCGCCACAACCCCCATTTTTTTCCCATCATTTTATTCTTAATTAATATGCACATTCTTCTTAATGTTAATCTATCATCTTAACGCATAATTTGTATTACATCTCATGGTATTGTTTACTATGCAGCCAATTATGAGAAGTAATGTTTCATCCCTCGTGTTCCTGATGTTTCATGAAGCTGCTCTGCGTGGAAGCTCTGGAGCAGCTTTGGCAATTGGCAGCGTACAGGATCGGACGTACGGACCACTCACATGTGTGTGTCTGTCCTGGCACGATCCTTTGCCAGCCCTGAGGAAGGAGCTGGCCCAAAAGTCTAAAATACAGAGTTGCACAGCGCTGTCTGAGCACAGGAGATAAACCCGTTCCTGTCCCTTTTGCTGTGCAGGAGAGAGCAGCCCCTGACCTGGGTCCAGGCATTTTCATGGGGGGATCACCTCACAGAGCCCGGCTCCCCCCACTCTATCCCATCCCACCCCATCCCACCCCAC